GGAATTTCTTCCTTTTCCATGCATTCCTATCAGCAACCATATCACAGCAGTCTCAAGATTTGTCACCATTCTTTAGGCATTTAGGATAGACATGAATAGGGATGTCTGTATTTTGTTTTTAAAATTTTCCTATGTGCATAGTAATAATCATAGCAGATTTATTAGGTTCTTAGTTGTCAGATATTAGGATATAATAGCCAAGTCACTAGTTCCAAAGTAGCCTCCTGAGAGCTGAACTGAGTGGCAAAAGGCACAAAGACAACTGAAATGTCTGAAATGTAAGTTTATTTCTTTTGAAGTCTGGGGGTATGAAGAACATGAGATTGATTGGCACAGGATTCCAAAACCTCCAAGTTATTTCTCTTAGCAGTTAACTGCTCTATTGGGCTCAACTTTATGAGTACTAAGATAGACACTTGATTCCTTTGCCTTTTGTCATTAACAAAACAGGGAGAACTATTTAATAGAGATGCTGCAAAGTGTACTGAGAGCTAGAGGGATACTCAGTGTCTGTGGTGGATTGAGTGAGAATGGCCTCCCATAGGATCACATATTCAAACTTTGGTGCCCAGCTAGTGCAACTGTTTGGGAAGGATTGTGAGGTGTAGCCTCATTGCAAGCTGTCACTGGAGATGGGCTTTGAGATGTCAAAAGTCCACATCATTCCAGTGGGCTCTCCTCCTGTCCTGTGCACATGGATCAGACATAAGCTGTCAGCTACTGTTCCAGTACCATGCCCCACCATGGTCATGGATCACCTTTGACAGTTTAAGCCCCTAGTAAATGCTTTCTTTTGTAAGTTGTCTTCATCGTGGTCTCTTCACAGCAACAGAAAAGTGACCAAGACAGTGTCCCAGGACAGACTCATGCCACTCTACATACAGTTCAAGGACTCAGAGCCTCAGCCTCTTACAGATCATTTCCCTTTACCAGTCGCCTCCAATCAGGCTGCATTCTTTGAATCTACCAGTCGGCTCAGTTTCAGTCAACAGGAATTTTAGGTAGGTAGTTGTAATGTCTTATAGGACATTGTAAACTACCTTCTCCTGAAATCCCACTTCACAAAAACACCATCTGTTTCTTGTTTTTTTTTTTTTTTTTTTTTTTTTTTTTTTTAAACTGGATCATTACTACATTTCCAGTACCAGGAGGAAATGATGAAGAAAGGAAGACCACTTACAAGGAAGGGAAAAATGAGTTCAAAATGCCTTTAAAAGGATCACAGAAAATAATCCCAAATGTCTGCTAAGACAGTACATGAACCAGAAGCCTGGTTTCCAAAAGATGTAGCAAAGGTGTCCAAAATGGAGGTATAGGCCAGTAATTTAGGATATGGAAGTAAAATTACAAAACTGAGCCCAACTTGGACTATGCGGTCAGATTCCATCCCCAAAAGGAAACCCCATGGAACTTGAATTTTAAACACACACGCGCGCACACACACACACCCACACACACACACACACACACGAGCACTGAACAAAATTTAATTGTATTTTTAGCATTATTAAATGACTTTTTAATAAAAGACTGAGTCTTTGGACTGTCATCTTGGCCTCTCTTCTGTATCTGCATGGAGATGAAAACCCTTCCCAGGATTTCCCCTTCCATGAGTTCCTAAATGGTTTCCTTTAAAAATGAAGTACAGTAAATGGCCTTTATGGACTCTCTGAAATGGCTCAAAGCCAAGCTATGCACCAGAACAAACTGATAAATCTGTTTTAACCATGGGTTCTCTTCTCTTTCTGTGTATGTAGCAGTTTGTAGTAAGTCAATGGAATGTCCATGGAGGTGGCTGAACTTCAGTGACAATGTGGCTAGAGAAAGTTAAAGGGGCAAGGTGTGGGCCAGGGAGATGGGTCAGCATGTAAAACCACAGCTAGACTGGAGTATTCTGCACAGTGACAGCAACAATGGAGACACCCCAGTTCAAAACAGAAAACAACAGGTGGAGGAAAATCAACTCCCCAACTTTGACCTCCACATACACCGAGGCACTTGTACTCATATACAAAGTAAACAAACCTATTTAAAAATAGCAGTATGCTGTCCTTTACACACACCAAGTGCTGTTCTCTAAGGATTTCAGACAGACTATAAAGTTAATCTTCAATTATGAAGTTGCTAACTCTAGCACCATTTTATAGAGGAAACAAGTCAAGACAGTCATGAAGGTCAAGCTGAGCAGATAGTCAGACATGCTACATCTACATGCTGCAGAAAGGACACCGAAGTCCCCAAGGGTCTTACATTGGGCCACTTGAAAATGTACCCTGAACCTATTTTGAAGAATGCATCAAATTGCTAACAATGTATATGAATGAGGAACTTGCTACAGCCTAGGACCAGATCTGTTGTTATACTTTGTATTTGACTTTCTTCCTATGAATGAGCTACAATTAAATCCATGCCAATGGCAGATTCAATCACCAGTTAACCCTTGCACAAACAGGCTCACAAAGGCATACATACTGTCATACTATACCATATTAAGTCAGAGGTGAGCCAGGTACTTTATTTTTTTACAAGAATTCTAATGCACATTCCAGGTATTGATGGGAGATGCCCTTCTATATATATGTTTCTCTTATTGGTTGGTGAATAAAACACTGATTGGCCAATAGCCAGGAAGGAAGTATAGGCATGGCTAACCGGATGAGAATTCTGGGGAGAGGAAACCAGGGAGAGACTGCCAAGAGATGTCAAGCTGCCCAAGGAGTAACATGCCTGATTACGGGTAAGCCACAGCCTCATGACAATACATAGGTTAATAGAAATGAGTTAATAATTAAGACAGAGCTAGTCAGTAAGAAGCCTGACCAATCAGCCAAACATTTTATACTTAATGTAAGTCTTTGTGTGTTTGAGGCAAAGCAGCAGTGGGACTAGGCAGGACAGAAGTTTCTATCTACAAGGTATATAATTTTTTAAGTTAAAATTAATCTGTTACTATTCGTATCTGAAGACTTACATTAGTTCAGCACATGGCCAGCACCCATACTTATCACCACACATTGAAATAGTTCAGCCAACCCAGCTAGAAATATCTAATGTACACAGGTAGGTTTTCTTTTATGGGGACAGAGGGGTGGAAATGGAGCCTCATGTAAGCTAGGCTTGTCTCAGACTGGATATGTGACCTTGAACTCTTGACCTTCCTGACTCCACCTCCCCAGTGCTAGAATTACAGGTGTATGGCCTCTTTGCTCACAAACACGTTCATGAAAGCTACTTTTGCTCTGATACCTTTGTGGTCTGTGTCATCTCCACTAATCATGTAATCATTTATTTGTTCTTCCCCACCTGCAAATCTCCTCATGTGACCAAGATTGTAAATAGGTAAGGCAAAAGCCAAGTTTCCAGCAGTGCAAGATGTTTTACTTTCCTGAATTATGTAGACTCCAAAGCTGGAGTCTCCAGGTTTGGCGTTTGCAAAGGTTGGGTTCCCCATCCTTGTTCTGGCCAGCAGACCATTATGGCAGACCATTCCGACATTGTATCATGTTAAACTAAATTGTAATTGTTTTCCAGAGCTAATTGCATCCCACCGGTCCTAGTTCTTAAAATAAGAATTTCCCTTCCCACCTGGATCAGACAAACCCAACAACCAAGAAACATTAGTAATTGTCAGCTGGACTTTACTAAACACTTTGTGTTTAATATATTTAAATTATAAAGAAATTACAAGGAACTCCTAAAAAATTTAATACAAAAATATTACAAGTTAGGACAATTAAGCATTGGTAGATGACATTTAAAGGAGCATGCAGGGAAAGGCATCATAGGATTAACATTTTCACTGTTGACAGAGCCTTGGGACAGCAGAGAAAAGCACCACAAAACCAAGTGTCCATATGGCTTTTCCTCTACTGCAGTTTTCAAATGAATATATAGGGAAAAAAAAAAAAAAACCCGAAACCAAACAAACAAAAAGTACCAAAACAGCTACATTTAACCTAATCAGCTACATTATTATAGTAGGCAAGAGATCTAATTCATGGTAAAGTATAAGAATTAGAAAATTAAAAGTAATTCCCTGCAATAGTGGCTTGATAAATTTCTGTTAACTTCAGGCTCACATGGACTCTAATCCTTGGCAGCCCAATGCTTTCTGGAAAAGTATAAAAACAGAGTGCCATTAACAACCTATGTCATGCAATAGAAGTTAACCCCTTGAAAACTAAAGGCTGTTAGCTTTAGCAACTGCAGTGACAGTATGACAAGGCTATCTCTACCTGTTGCTATCAAGGAAACTGAAGAAGGACATGGAGAAGGCAACTTGACCTAGAAAATGAAGAACATGTCCAATAATTCTATTCTGAAAAAGTCTCTGGTAACTACAAAAGTATTGAGAGTAATGGCAGATAGTTGGGTGCCTTGAGACTTTCTTAATATAGGTTTGTAGTGACATAAGTAATTAGCTAACCACTGCAGTATGCTTGCTTTATGTGGAGGGAGAAGCTCCTGCCCTGAAAGCCTTCAGTCACATACTTCGTGTGTCTTGTGTCACTGCATGCAAAGCTAACAGTGAATCTGACGTCTTAGCTCACGTGAGAAATCCTCTAAATTATCAATTTTTCAAAATCACTCAGGAATCATCATTATTCTTTAGCTGATTACATGCTATTATTTAACAAATATAGAAAATAATCCCTTCATTTTAAAAAATCTTATCCCCTGCAAGAAGTAATAAAATAGCAAAAACTTTAATTTCATCTATGGGCTTCTTTAAAGTATACATCTTGGAAACAATGTTTATGAAAACAGTGATTCCCATGGCAGTTATATTCACTGGAGATAGTAAGAGTGAGGACAGATAGGTTGTAGTAGGGAAGACTCTTGGAGCAAAATCATTTATTCTACACTTAACAGTGGGAGATAAAAGCAATCGAGATGTAAACAGGAAATTGTAAACAAATGCCATCCCTCTCTTCCCATGACTAGACAGTCTATACAAACCACTTAGGTATCAAAGGTTTCATATATGTACACAGCCAACATAATATCAAAATATACTTTATTCTGGACCTCTTTCAGATCTGATTCAAATTACAGTTTTCAAAGCAATACAATGCAAAGGGGAAACTGCAACAACACACATAAAAAAAATGTGCCTGGAAAGGGTCAAAGGGTCATTGGGGACAAATCATCGTGATGTGGAACCAAAATACATAGTAAGTGTCATTGACATGGTCCAGGAGAGACAGACGTCTGTATCAGTCTTCCTTACACAATCATCATGAAAACTGAACAATAAAGTTCCTTAACATGTACAAAAACTGTCATAGGCTGGTTTACACTTTATAACAGCTTTAAGGTAACTGGGAAACTAAAGAAAGGATGCAGACATCATCACCCACTGCTAAGGTATGCTCACAGAATTAGACCCAAAGGATTTGCCAAAATCCAAATGAAAACATTCTATATAGTGACAATGTCAAAGTCGGGAGAGAAAACCATTTCTGAATTTAAGGATGGAGTCTACCTGTCTGTAATGAGATGAAAAAGTACACCAGATACAACATGCAGAATTTTTCCTCTCCAACTTATCCAGAAATTCCAAAGAAAACATGATAAACAGCTTGCTAGGTTTAAAAAAAAAAAAAAAAAAGCCTTCACCCTTCTTCAACACTGTCACAGAGGGCAGAAATAAAGAATGCTATATGCTATGAACACCTCAGAACTGCTAGAGAAGAGATCACATTCTGAATGAGTGGATTAAAAATGTGAGCACTTCCTTTTTTTTCTCCCTTCTACATTCAACTAGAATCATGTATTAAACAACTGGTATTAAATGTGACAGACACTTCAGAGCTATTACTGGAAGGAGTAGTTCATACCTTCCGTCCTTGCTGATTTCAAACAAAAGGAGGGTATCAAAACAAACAAAACCACCCCCAGGGTCTCTGTAGGCTAGCTGCGAGCCCCTAAATGCTGGCTTTTGCTGGTGTGCCACGATGTTGGTCCACGGAGGCAGGATTTTTGCAGCAACTGTGCAAGTACCACTCTTAGCTCGTGGGAATCCAGCTTTTGTGGAAATGTGCAATGCACTTACAAAAACATAAATGGTCTTTTAAAGAGCAAGACAGCACTGTCTGAGATGGTTTTCCTATGCATCTGGTCAAACTGATCATGTCTGCTTGCAGAAGCCTGGTCATCTATGATTCCTTTCACCAGCAGAATGCCCAGTCCTCCATGGGCCTCTGCTCCTCATTCATAGTCTACATTACTCTTTTTAAACAAAATCATTCTACATAAACAGATAGCTCCTTAAAAATAGTACTCTCTCATTAAATCTGATTTGACAGAAATAATCTTAAGGAAAAAAGGAGTGCTTTATAAGTGAAAAGTACAAATCTTTGGCCTGTCTCTTGACATTTTTATGTCAAAAAGCAAAAAACCTTCATGTGATTCAATCTATTACTTTTTGCACCATAATTTGTTGGTTTTTTTTTTTTAAATACCATAAAAGGAGGCACTTTCAGTATCTGTAAAAGGTGTTTAATCCTAAAACATACTCACCTAGAGGATAACTTATGAAAACAGAATTTGCTATACTCTAAGATCTATTATTCCACTTACCACTCCTAAAGACATTTGAAAGTGAATAATATTACCTGATCACAGAAAATGGGAATGGGGCAAAACTACTTCTCCAGGGGTCTCCCACATGGAGAGCAGATCCCTTCATGCCTTTTATGGGTGGCAGCTTGCTCCCTCTATTCTACTTTAATCAAAAAGTATTCATTTAAAGTCTCCTTATTCTCTTTCCTTATGATTAGGTTGCTTACAGTAGAATATAAAACAATGATCTAAATGAACACCATATAAAGACTACTACACTCCATGACTCTTCAGAGTAAGCTCTCAGAGAAAGACAAGAGGGAAAGTAAGAACAAGACAGAATTTCATATGCTGTGAAACATGGTCTCCCGCGATCAACTGACTGCTCTGGTGGACACACCGGGCGGTGTCTGTGGAGCAGCATTGTGGCACGTCAGCAGGCTACAGTGACAGTGAGAACAGCAGCAAAGCACACAGTTCTATGCTCATGAAGAACCAGCCTAAAGATGGACACCTTCAGACAAGCCTGCACAGGAAAACCTGAGGCCTTAGAATAGCAAAGCTCTGCACTCACACTCTGTTAGAAATCACAGCTAGGTGCTAAAGTAAAATAGCCAAAAAATTAGGAAAAGAAACCAACAAACACACCCAACAGGAAGCAAGACAATATCATAAAAACTGTTATTATGGCAGCTGTATTGCAGGTTTGTGACTGTCTTTGAATCAGCTGGGAAGAATGTCAATGACTGTATGCAAATGAATAAAATGTCCATATCAAAATACAAAAGCACTATCAGCAATCACCTCTGACTAGGTTAGATTCAGTGCAACTGACAAATGCATCGCTGAAGGAAATGCAGCTTAGGCATACTGAAAACTTTTGTGTCTATTCCTGGGAGCACATTTATAAATTATTGCACAGATTTTTTATTTTTATATATATTTTTTTTAAACAGCAACAACAGAGGCCAACAGATGTGACCCCCTGGCAGTAAAAGCAGAATCTCAAGTGCCAGACACTCAGCATTGTAGATTTCCTACAGAATACCAGAGCAGTGAGCTCTAAATCTCTCAGTGTGATCCAACCTTAAAAAAACCACCTGGCACAAACCATAAATGACTGCCTCTCTGGATGCAAATTTTAAAAATATTATTACAGTATCATAGTCCCCACTAACAACAATGGGGGAGATATAACAATGCAGAGTAAAATTTAAGTGTATTCATCTTCTTTACCAAAAGCAAATGCCACCCTACCTTAGTGAAGCCAAGACTTCCATCAATCAATGCTGTTTTATAAAGAGCAAAGCAGCAGATACCAAGCATTGCAGCTGCAGAGCTGGGTTTGACAAAGGGTGGGACTTAGGAGTCAAAGGCCGCAAAATAACTACGGACACAAATAGTGTTATAAATCTGCTAAGCACTTTCTTAATAAAAATTTAAAGATATAAATTTGACAACTATTTTCTTCAGAACCAACATGCCTTGGTTCTGTTAATCTCAACTGTCCTGTTTAACCACCTTCACAAACAGCCTCTGGTGAATATTTGTAGGTTTTACTTTTAGCTGATTGGGTACCTATATCTTTAAAAACTTGATATGAACAGAGTAAAAGACATGATGTAGTAGTGATTACTGGAAAGCAGCAGCTTAGATCTACATTGCTTTGACAAAGTGCAGCCTTGACGCCACAGACTAGGGCAGAGTGGCACAGCAGCCACACTTCTCCCTAAATCCTCAGTCATTGCTACTCAAAAACACCTGGAAGCAAGCCTTTAAGAGTTATTTTTAAAACTAAGGTAGCAAGCATTTTGCCATGTGATGGCAGTGTTATATGCTGTAATCTTGTAATCTTGCTTTGTAAAAAGAAAACTAACAGATTTTTTTTTTTTTTTAATACTGGAATCTGGTTACATTACGTATTTAAGCTTCTATACAGAATGATGGACACTTTGAGAAGCTAATCCTTATCCAGAAACATTTTAATCTCTTAAGAAACAAGTAAAAACAGACAAGTGGTTAATTAAAAAAAAAAAAAAAAAAAAAAAAAAGCCCCAAACTACATTGCCCCTTCTCACAATAGTGCACATTTTGACCATAATTTAGCTATGGCTACGAAACATTGGAAAGTTTTTGTTTTTTTAATCTCTCTTCTTTATGTTATTAAGAAAAAAAAAATTGTGCCCTTCTATTCTTAAATTGGCAGAAATATGTCCCCAAGAAGAAACTATTTTAATTAAGCCATTTCACACACACACACAAAGAAAATCAAAACAAAAGATAACGTAATACCCTTTGCTGATGTGTCTTAGAGTGACATGACAGATGTCATGTGGTTTCCTTTAATGTCAACTTCCCCAAAATATGCACCAACTGAATATATGCTCTGGGAGCCATAAAATGTACCAAACATCTACCTTTTCCAAAGAATGCAGTAAAATATTTTTTAAGATTTCTTTGTTTAAAAGATGAGGAAAAGTAAAAGAATATGATTCACTCCCTTATTTCATGCATCCATAATCTAAACCAAAACAAACTTGAAAGCAAGAACAAACTACTGCCGCGAGTTTTTTGATAAGTCCACGTTCTCTGTACATACAAACTGCGCACTACTGAAGGGGGAAAAGAATATAATCCATGGTGTCTGATGATTTAAAGGGGAGAAACAAGGCTGTCATTAATATCCAAAACTGGTACATGTGTGGTTTGCTCTTATAACGCATTGTCCATCTCTTCTGCTTTCCATATCCAGACTTCTAAACGCTACTTAGGGGCACAGCAGGTTAGATCCCAGCACATGGTGAGCAGAATTCACAGGCTGGGATGAGACTGTCATCTTCAGGGTGCAGCTGTGTTCATATACACTGCATGTATATACTTCTCTTACATTTGGCTGTAGTGGACTGGCCATGGTTCAAGTGGGACTATAGCAGTATGTGGGTCAGGGATAGTCTTGTGGCTATGTACACATTCATAGTCGGTCCATGGCTTCCAACTAGTAACGCTATTTCCGAAGGTCTAAGACACAAACCTGGAAGAGATTGCAACAAATACATTTCAAACTTATCTTGTATATAGATCACAATGTAATTTACAATCTGTTTCTAAGCTGAATATTCATAAAATCAAAGCAACAAATCATAGAAAAAGACTTAACTGAGCCACCACAAGCTACAGTAACTAAAGCAATGGTGCTGTAATTTTTTAGGAATTAATCTTTATAGTCAGTAAAAGGGGGTAGGAAGCATACAAAACACTGTTCTCAGATCTTAATAAAAGCCCAACTCACTCAACAGCCCTGGGACTCTGTAGCTTCTCTTGCTTTATAATAGTGGAGGCCACTCTACCATTTTTTAAAAACCTACTAAACAGCACCCCAAAGGTCTCAGTGTCAAATATCTCCATGAAGAAGTCAGTCTCAATTCCACAATTTCAACAATCCCTCCATAAAAAAGGAGATCTAGGGAAGGAGTTTTAAAAATGTTAATCACTGACACATGATACTTCACTACATTTAATTATACAAATGAAGATTTATTTACACTGAAAATCGCTCATTACTTGGTTATGAAGACTCTGGCAAAAATCACCCTGTTTTATTTTAGTCAAAGGCAATGACATATCCAGCACATGTAGCCCAGGGAACAGGGTTGGGATGATGTCAACATCTTTAAAATTTTTATTTTGCAAAGAATATGACGGTATACCCCATATGTGTTCTTCTCTCTAAAAATTCATGAGTGTACTCACTGAACCATCTGATGCACTGGCTCCAACTTTGTCTCCTGCTGCATTCCAGCAAACTTCAAAAATCCCACCTGTTCCCCTGTAACTGTGAACTAAAGCACCTGTCTGAAAATATGAAAAACAGACACAAAGAATCGTTACAGAAGTCAAAACATCAGGATAAGAAAATGATAATGTGGCAGAGTGATGCATGAGACCCCCACCCCCTCAGGGGTCTATAAGCAGCTAATGATTGCTTAGAGAGGAAGAGCCATTGTGTGATCAGAGAAATTTGTTTGAAACTTGACTAATTTCCCTCTTTCCTAAACGTTTTCATAGTTTAAGACTGATGAAAAAGCTGAATGCAGTAGCCATAAATATCTATGGTTACTCAGAAAACAAAGGAGCAGCCACAAAGGCAGAAAGTGACTGAGGCATAAAAGGCAAACCCTGTAGACCTGCTGACCTACAGCAGATGGATGAATGCAAGGTTAAAATAAATAGCCATCCACATGCCCAAACTACCTACCCACCTACCTACATAAAGAACGTCTACCAATCTGTCTCGAAACTGAAGCAAGACAATAATGAATCCAAATATGGTCACAGGCAGAACTGTGATGGTGAGGGTTAGTATGTCACATCATCTCACCTGTATGCTGAAACAAGACCCAGGCCCCACGTGTCATACACTCAGGAAACACTGACCACATACCTTAAATGAGCTACATTTCACTGAAATTATTGTGGATTCTAATCGGAAAATCTTCCAAACATTTAGCAACTAAATGAACAACTAAACAGAAGAACTAAAAAGGACATATACTTTAAAAGACAGCATTCACACACACATGTAAAAATCACAAGGCACTCCAGAGTAATCATAAACATTTACTGAAGAAATAAAAGACAAACAAATGAATACAGCGTACTCTTGGGTAACTAATGCAAAACAACCTATAGACTTATTGGGCACCCCCCCAAAAATCCATAAATACACATCTATTTTGTGAAGTGCTGAAGACCAAAGTGCAAAGAACAGAAAATGTGAAGGATCACAAGGACCAAGACACATGCCATGGAGAGTGGTTAGTTAGGCCTGCAATGTGGATTCAGCTATGCACAAATGTACCAAAGGAACAAAAGATAGCTGGGAACTAGAAATGCATCTCAATGCAGGGTGCCACCTGGCTCCACTAAGGTCCTAGTATAATCCTCTAACTATGAGGCAAGGGGCAAGCAACAAAACAACCAGGTACATGCTTTACAGACATGGTATATGTGGTAACAGCAAGGGGACAATGAATGATGACAAGACAACTGCTTATCCATCTGTAAAGATGACTTTCTTTCTGGACCTCATACCATACAAATCAACACCAGAGGGACCACAAACAAAATCAAGCTTAAACACTGTAGGGGAGAAAAATTCAGAGACCCCAGTGACATTAACAAATATATATTTGTTTATATACAAAGCTATAAGAAGCACCAGTCTGAATACTCTTTTAAAAGAGTGATATGGTAAATTCTCCATGAAGAAGACAGAAAGGAAGACCAGTTCATTCACACCCAGGACAGAAGTGTGCCCAGAACATACAAAGACCACCAACTACCAATAATGAAAAAAAAAAAACAGAGTTGTACTGTCTACTTTAAACATACTATACAACTCAATGTGTAAATAAATATGATTACATTTACCAAATCAAAATAAATATTTAGGGGACTGAGAATTTAGGATATAGGAAATATGGAAGTACAAAGTGCTATGGATTCTCTTGGTAGCAATTGAGAATGGGTAAATCATGAACCCAGAGTTCCCTTTGTGAGCATACAAACATGTACACACACAGATATGCAGAAACTCAACATAAAGTTCATATAAACACCAGAAAAGGTTTGATTCATTTGCATATCAATAACAAAATGAAACAAACCATTATGTTATATCTCCATGAACTTGTATTATAAACCATAAAATGTTAGTGCAAATCACAAGCTTTAAAAAATATGTAGCACATCATAACATTTATTTACAATTTCACCAAACAGTATATATAATTTCTATGGGAATGGCTGACAGCTCTTCATGACTGATGCAGACAGGAGTTAAACATTTTAGCTGTGTCAAAAAAAAAATTTAGTTGAAAATCTTTAAAAACCAGAAGAAAGATATCTACAAGAAACATGGCAAACTATCCTTATAAAGTAATTCTGAAGATGATGCTGTGTTGCTCACTCATGCTAATTCCCACATGCATCACTGTTCAGTAAACCTGAAGATGAACTTAACCATTTTGCTCACATTCATGCCCATTCCCACACATATCATTACTCGGTATTCAGGAGTTGGTCTGGGTGCTCTCTTAGGAACACAAAGTTAAAATGTGGAAATGGTGGTTTTAAACATGTCAGCCTACACACCCTGAAGTGTGTTAAGGAGACACAGTTTCATTCCACTCTGAGATGTCATCCTCTACCTACAAGCTGGACCTATGCTGAGTGTGACCTACAATAGCCACGGTGCTCTGTACAATAAGCAGCTCAGAAAGGATAAAGAAGAAGCCACTAACAATACTGTGGGGCAGGAGGGCAGACCGGCCAAAGTTCCTGAGTGCAGACCTTCCAAAGCCACAGGATTTAGAACTTAATGGAAAACACTCAAATGTGATGGTTTATAGCAAGTAACTCAACTAACTACAATGGAAATCTACTACAGAAAGGGTTGCCAACTGTATGTTAGTATGTCAAACACCAACAAACACTTGAGGAACAGAGAGGGCAGAGTACAGGGCATAAAAGCTTATACACTGAAAAGCTGTAAGTGTGAAAGCAAAAGCAACATGCTGGCTTCTATTCTGGGGGAGTCTCTTTACAGTACCATCCCTGAAAAGGAAGCAGAATGTTAAACCTGGTTTAGTAATGCAATCTTGTCTGTTAACCTCATCAAATGTCAAGTGCCTCATAAGCTTCTCTTCATATCTACTATACTATTCAAGAATAAAATAACAGGACAATACATTTAATTCTAAATTCTGACTTGCACATAAAAATGCAACTCTCAGTGTTAATTTAGCTATCAAGTGCTCCAAAGTACTCTTAGGTTTTTAAAACTAAGCATTAAACTGATGTCACAGGAGAAATAACCAAAATGTAAGTAAATACGTAAATGCTTCTAGCTGTATGAATTACTGGGACATACCTGTGTGTTCCAGATGTGCACACATTTGTCAAAAGAACCACTTGCCAGATACCTCCCATCAGGACTGAAAGCCACACTGTAAACAGGCTCTTGGTGTTTTGTTAAAGTATGAATGCAAATCCCTCGGTCTACGTCCCATAACCTAACTGTAGAATCAAAGGATGCACTGAAAACAGAAGGGAAAATAGTTTTATAAGTAATCAAATATTCTCTTGGCCTTGACACCAGCCTCCCACATCTTGTCAATCCTAAAGGGCTAGCAAATTTCACTGTTAAAAATCCAGGTATTACAGTAACTGGAAGGGAAACAGGAAAAAGCTGAAAGCACCTGGCTCCTGACCAGTCACTGTACTTCCAATAGTCCTAGTTACCGATCCATGGTTTTGAATATCAAACTGACTGTATATTGGGATTCACCTATCTCTTTAAAAAACAAAAAAGCTATGGATTTAAAAAAAATTATTATCCTATGCCCCCAATGATCTGTATGCTTTGGTGAAATAGAGTCTCACTTTAAAACACAAATTGATTACTATGTTAGGCACACAAGCCTAAGTGCTAGATTAAAAACACAAGCAAAGCCTAATTATTGGGTTTTATTCAACAGATTAAAAAAAAAAGAGGGCATTGAATCCTGAAATATTAATGTTAAAAATCCCATGTTTAAAGGTTCCCATTGAAATATATTCCCCTCAAGATATGTTCCATGCTTTCTGTCATATTTTCCCAAAATTTTATTCTTGAGAGATTCAATAGGAAAAGTGAAACAGACACATCACCTTGCTAGCATAAGGTTGGCATTTGGATTATTTGTTCCTGGTCCTGTTGGACTCCATTTAATGGTATAAATTTCTTTATTATGTGCTTGCAAATCATGGACACAGTTATCTTGCTTCATACTCCAAATCTACCAAAAGGGGAAAAAAAAAAGGGGGGGGGATAATTTTTCCATACAACACATTTAAAAGTACCACCTTTCCAGTACAAAATAAGTCAAACATCAAGGAAATGACTTCAAAGAAATTTCAAAGTAGTTGTTAATACATTTTATATTACTCCATAAAAATGTATTAAATTCTTCAAAAACTCCTTTATTGTAAAACTTGAAGGCTGAATTAAAAACTGCAGTTGTTCTCAACAGTTGTAAACTGCACAAATCCTAACACTAGAAATACTTGAATTAAGGTTATAGTAACTCAGAGATAGAGAACTTGTGAGCAGTTGAGCAGGCGTGTCTCTCTCACACACACATACACACACAGGAATTCACAAAAACTGCAATAAACAGCTAAGAGAACAGTACTTTGCAGATTAAATGTATACAATCAGTATATTTCTACATTTTTCTTTGGTCTTTTGAACAGCACTGACAACCTTGACATATCCCTAGCAATCCTCTTTACATTTTCTATATACTTTGGTCATCTTCTTGATCTAAGGATTCTGTTCTTGAGGTTTATCATCACATCACCTGCTATTCATTACACACCACCCATTCATTCTACTTCTGCATTGAAATCCTCCATGACCCAAAATTCTTTGTAGTGTTTAAAAAAAAAAAAAGCTCCAATCCTGAGGTGTCTAATTCCACACTGTTCAGCTTGCAAACTCAATCAATGATACGGAGCTTCTCTGGATATTGACCTTCTTTCATATTCCAAGCTTTAATGCATATGCATGAGTAAAATACCAAAAGACGAAGCAATAAATGCAGTGGCATAGGCCTACACATAGTACTTGGGAGGATGTAAAGGATCTCAAATTCAAGACCAGCATAGACTATACAGTAAGATTCTGACTTAAAAAAAAAATAATAATAATAAGGGTAATATGCAGCTTAGCATACCCAAATCTTCCATATGACCCTTGAGGTGAAGGGAGGAAAAGGAACACTTAGCGTGTACAATAGTGAAAGAAGTGATTTTTCCCTATATGACTATCATATGTGTAAGGGTTGCCACTACAGTCTCTGATAGTGCAAGACTGAGGATAAAATGTTTACAGGAAAGCATGTGTAGCATGAGGAGGTACATTCTATTCCAGAGATTAGCATGAGGGTAGTCTTTTCCTCACAATTACGTTTTCACTACCTGTCATATGAAAGGTATTATGCTTTGCTTTTGGTCACGTCAGATTGTGTTCTTGGAAAGCTAACACCCTGTCTCAACTTGATTGGGTCAAGGAGAATTCAGATATTTGGCTAAGTATTATTTACCCATGTTGGTCAATTAGAAAGAACAGAGCAGACAGCACTCTCTATGTAGATAGCAACCAGTCTTCTATAGCTTCACGACTTATCCGAAATATGGCCCTGGCACTCCAGATTCTCAGGCCTTCAGCTTTAAGTTTGGACCCACATGGCTGCCTACTGGGATCTAAACAAGAACAGCTCCCATAGGCTTATATATTTAAAAACACTTGGTCCCTAGTTGATGGGATTACTTGGGAAGGATTAGGAAGTGGGGCTTTGATGGACAATGTATTATCACTGAGGAAGGGCTTTTTGATTTAAAAAACCCACACCATTCACATTTAGCTCTCTCCCTGTGTCATGGTTGTTGATATAAGCCAGTGTCATGCCTGCCTGCCACATGCTCCTTGCCATAACAGTCAAAGACACATCCTCTGAAACTGTTAAGACCAATAAACTACTTCTATAGATTGCCATTATCATGGTGTCTTGACACAGCAATAGAAAAGTAATTAACACATACACTTTCCTGGCCATCCAGTTTAAAAGACAGCAAAGAATAAAAATCTCACCCTCCATGATTGTGTGTATAGATTTTCATAAGTCTCTTACATAGTAATGTATGCTCCTAATTACCTCCTTACTAGTGAGAACTGTGACAAGTACAGCAGCATAATACACTGGTATGCCTTTTTAGTAGAATTTACTATACTGAAGTATGTATTTCGGGGGGGGGGGGAGAAATAACCATTTAAGCTAGAAAAGTCTTCATTTAGGTTTTAGACATCAAAAGGACACTTTAAAAAGCCTTAAGCCAGATGTGGTATGTAGTACACACTTTTGATCCTAGCATTCAGGAGTTCAAGGCCAGCTTGGTTTAAATAGTTGAGTTCCAAGACAACCAGAGCTACATAAACAGTGAGACCTTGACAAAAAAAGCAAAACAAAACAAAACAAAAAAAAAAAGAAAAAACAAACGAACAGCAACAACAATAACAAAAACCTAAAAATGCCCAGCCACACATGGGATATCACCCTAAAGCATCCACTACTTGAATTACCTTCAAGGTCATGTCATCTGAACACGAGGCGAGGAGATTGCCAGTTGGGTCCCATTTGATAGCGTTTACTTCATTCTAAAAATAGCAGTAAACATTTTTATTTTCACTTTACAGAACAGGAGCTACTTGGTATTTAATATGTACATTCAAAAACTATTCTATAATATTACTAGCTCAAAATAACCATGTTACAGGAGGGGGGAAAAAAACTTACCGTGTGTCCCTGGAATGTTTTGATAGGTCTGTCTTGTCCTAATTTGCAGACATGAATGCACATGTCTGTACTACAAGACGCAAAGGTGTTGTTGCTCTGCCAGTCAACATCCAGTGCTGGGGCTAGAAAAGAACACAGGTTAGGCTTACAATGTGCACATGTGTGTCACATAGAAGCCTTACCTCTGAAGCATGGCTAAGCATTAAGAATGCTAAGCAGTAAACATTTTTTGACACTTTTTTCATTTTTAATGTGCACTGGTGTTTTGTCTGCACATCTGTCTGTTTGTGTGAGGATGTTAGATCCCCTGGAACTGGAGATAAACAATTGTGATTCGTCATGTGGGTGCTTGGAATTAAACCGAGATTCCCTGGAAGATTGGCCAATAATCTAAACCGCAGAGCCATCTCTCAGTCTACTTTACACATTTTAAGATACAAAGAAAAAATTGTATCTTAATGGAGAACACTGTCTTCACACTTCTGACAGCTATGGTGAAGGGGTTTCCATGTGAAATAATAGACTCAGATTGATACAGTTTGTATGGTCTGCCAAACTACTAAAACTACTTTCTGAACCCTGATAGTCACCAACCCCACTTAGAGACAAGATGAAACAGGAAGGTAAAGGATGTTTCCATTTGCATTGCACTGAAATTTCCTAAGCCCATCTTTCACTTCAGTCTCACACTTGGCTAGGTATGACTTCCAGGGGATGCAACCTGCATCAGCCAGTGGCTTTGGTCACCTTGCTCAGCAGCATGTGACTGCTGGCATACTAGGAATCCTATTCTCTTCAGTTTGCCCTCAGGTTCACCCTGACCACAAGGCTAACTCTCACAAGCTGCACTCCAGTGCCCTGAGCATGTCCTCCTCTTCACCGAAGAGCAGAGGGGCCAGGAGGAGATACACTGCTGTTTCTACTCACTCAGCCTGTGTTTCTCAATGGCCCCTGCTGTTACCGGGCAGCAGCTTCTCGGTGGTTCAGATTCCCACTGGACTGGCAGCACTTTCCACCTCCCTGCAGTCTCTTTCTTGCTCTTCTCTTAGAGACCTCACTGCCCCTAATGGTCCCTCTTTCCAACACTGCTCCAAATCATTTCCTTCTCCTGAAGTCTTCTTGGATCCCCAAGTATAGACTGCCTTCCTGCCAACATCCTGATTCAGTAAACATTATAATATTAACATGAAATACATTTTTAAAGATGCTACTTAAATTTATTTCTTTAATTAAAAATAATTGTAAATTAAGAAGTAGAAAAAAAGGTAGGAGGCTGTAATTTTAAATTATTTTTTAAAAATACATAATTATACAAAAAAAAAAAGGTATGAAGGTGACCAAATAACTGAAGTGACTTATGAGAGCCTGAGTGGCCTGCAAACATGAGAGAAGGCTCACAAATAGTAAGCTGCACCAGGATAGACATACCTTGGATTTGGGGACAAAAAGCAAATATAACTGTGAAATTCAGCTAGGAACGCTGAACTGAGAGTTGTGAGGAAAGTGCCTGCAATGTACCTAGCTCTGAAACTCCACAGATCCAGGCAACCCAGGGAAACACTAGGGAATAGGCATTCCTAACGTGAGCCAAGGAAGTGTAAGTATTTTAGGACTACAAACCTAACCCAAAAGAAACCCAGTAAGTAAAAGATCTGTTTATTATTATGGTTACATTTTACACAATAAGAGGAAGCTAAGAAAGGTTAAGTAATTTTCCCAGTATGATACTTTTATAATACAGTTTTTAAAATTTTAGAGTTAAAATAAAAAATCCTCTCTTCTGTTGTGATTTATTTTCAGTAATCCACATATATTCCATGATTATTTTTTTTGAAAATAACAAGCCTATGAAGAAATAGGTACATTTATTTCTTACTAGTATTTTTTTTTTTTTTTAACATTTGTTCTTTAACAACTTACTGGCATTTTTAATTGCCTTACTGAAATGTAATTCCCCAATTTTAAATGTTTCAACAAATGGCACTCAAAGTATCTCATTATTTTTAAAATTTGTGACCAAATATATTGTGGTGGTTTAAATAAGATGACCCCATAGGCTCAAATATATGAATGCTAAGTAACCAGGAAGTGGAACTCTTTGAAAGGATTAGAAGGATTGGGAAGTGTAGCCTTGTTGGAGGAAGTGTGCACCGGGGGTGGGCTTTGAGGTGTCAGAAGCCAATGCCAGAGTCTCTCTCTTGGCCTACAGATCTGGATATAGCTCTAAACTATTTCTTCAGCACCACAATCTGCCTGATACCATTCTCCCGACCATAACAAAAACTAACTAAACCTCTGAACCGCAAGCAAGACCCCAATTCAATGATTTATTTTTTTAAAATGCCTTGTTCAAGGTCTTTGCAGCAATAAAACACTAGGACATACATACAAGATTTAACTAGTCCTAAATGTACAGTTTTGTGGTATTACTTATATTCACTGTTATGCAACTATCTCCCTATTTCTAAAACTTCCTGAATACTATCACTGAACACTAACTCCTCATCTTGACACCTGATGCCAGTTTCAGGTAACCTCTTAGAAAAGGATCTGATTCTGATCCCAGGACTCATATGAGAAACCAGGTGTGGCCTTGCCTGTGTTGGCAACTCTAACACTTCATCGATGGTATAATCAGAAAAATCGATGGGAGTCTGCTGGCCACCAGTATCTCAAAGAAATAAAGTTGGACAGTGTGAGGCGTAAGGAGGCAACAACACCCGGCATCCTCCTCTGGCCTATAAAAGCACACACACCCTCATAGGCATATGTACAAATGCACATGAACACAGACACAATGAAGAGGAGGTGGGGGTGGTTGTGTGTTTTCTAATAGGTTGCAGTTATCTGTCTCTCAAAACTGGATTGCCTAACAGACAGAAAACCAAAACACTAATGTTAATGCTAAACACTAACAAACTGGCCTAAATGTTTATAAGAACAATGAAATGAATAATAATAATTGGTAGTTGACAGATCTCTAGAAAAGCCCCAAATACATAGGAACTAAGCAACATAATTTAAATAGCCCACAGATTAAAAGAAATAAAAATTCAGTCAGAAAGTTATTCGGGGGGAGGGGGGAAAGCACATTTTGAAAAATATAGGACGCATGGAGCAAGTCTTGAATTCTAGCATTCAGAAAGCTAAGGACTAGCCTGTGCTACATGGTGATAGCCTATCTAAAAAGTAACAATCAGGAAACATACTGATTACGGAAGTCATCAACATTAAGAACACCCAGCTAGGTGTGGAAGCACATGCCTGTAAGCTAGGGATGCTGAGTCAGAGATCAGTGCAGTCACCTTAACTGCACAGTGAGTCCCTGATTCTAGAACAAAACAACAGAAAGCAAAGACAAGCCACAGACCAAGAGAAAGTGTTTGCTATACGCTTAACAGGTGACCTGTGAGAAGAAATAGAAATAACAAAGGCAGCAGATGGGGGAATGTGGTGGCTCAGAAGATCAAGTCCCTTTTATCTGAGAAAATATGAAGAGTTTGTATGTCCAGAACCTACAGAGAAAGTCAGACATGGCAGTGTGCACCTGCAATCCTAACACTGGGGAGATGGACACATGAAGGGTCCTGGAGCTTGCTGGCCAGCCAATGATGAAACCTTACCTCAAAAAATAACATGCAGTATGATAGAGGAAAACTACTGACCACCTGCTATTGACCTTGGGCCTCCATATACAACTGTACCCCATACCCCCCCCCACACTTTAGTTTCTTAGAAATACAGGCAAACTAAAACCAAAGTAAGATGTCATCACAAACAATCAAACTGGATAAAATTAAAAAGTATGATCAATTATGAAATGTGAAAGAGGCCAGAGACCTCCAAATAAAATATACCTGTGATTCCATAACATAAACTTATCTTTGGTGACAAAGACTATCAGTGATTACCTGGAAAATGACATCACAGAGGGGCAGGAAGGAAGCCTGATGATAATGGGCATACATATATCTTCATGTGATTATGATTTCATTGGTATATACATATATAATAATTTCAAGGCAAATACATCCAGTCCATTCATTATATGTCAGTTATTTCTCAGCAGAACTTGGCTTAAGTACAAAGTTCTTCTTTGAAAAAATTCAGTTCCTTATCCTCTCTTCATCTCTTGATCCCTCTCAGGTTCCTGTTCCCTTGTGTTTGGTTCCTATCTAAAAGGTCATCATATCCCTTAGCCCAGTATCTCATACACACATGTGGTACATACACACATGGGGAAGGAACAAATGGACAGAGGCTTATTCTATCCCTCAAAATGCTCTGGTCAGAAGTCCAAGAGAATATACTGAGAAACACCTCTAATGGGTGGCATTCATTACACTGTGGCTAAGCACACATGTGCTCCCTGACCTCCAATTTCTCCTAGTACATATTAGGAAACATGAAATAGCCAGAGACCAAAGAATAGTCTACCTGGGGAAGGTCTAGAAGCTAGGGTCAAAAATAAGCAGAACAGGTAAACAGGGGGTGCTGTATAAACATGTACTGGAATGTGGTAAGCTCTGACAGAGTTAAAATGCCTGGTGCTTAACACAGTGTCTGCAAACCACTCTACTCAGATCATACTGAAAAATCATTTTGCTCCTAGTTGGTGTGTTTGGCTATAGCTATACTTCTAGCTCTTTATAAGTAACTGTTCATTACTAAAGACATGAGGATGATAACCACAACCACCTGCTCAGCTTCCAGTAGAGAATCTCAGAGTACAAGTCTCAAAGCAGCAACCATTATCAAGTAATGCTAAAACTACTGCTCTGATTGTCTTCATGCATCTTGTTGCTGTCAATATTACTTAGTTACTGAAATCAAGAAATGAACTGAGAAGCCAGACTTAATGGCACACATCTATAACCCCAATACCCTAGAGGCTGAAGAAGGAAGACTGTTTTGAGTCTGTAGCCAGTCAGGGATATATAACAAGATTTTGTTCCTCCCTGACTTCTCAAATGACAGAGCTAGTCAGTTGAGAACAGGTTCAGTGGCTCCAGGCTGAAGGCATTGACCACACTGAGGTAAATGCCCATACATGGCTGTACATCACAGAGGAAAAAACCCACAAGTGACACTGAGAAAGCCTATCCTTCATTGCACACACATAGGAGAACATAGACACATTAATCTAAAATGCACAAGATGATGACATGTAAACCTGTAACAGGTAAATTCATATATGAAAGAAGGCTCAAAAGGATAAGTGACCTGAGAGCTTATCAAATGGAGAATGTTCATTCAGTCATGGCAGACCATCCAATTCTATAGCACCACCCCAACCATACCACATGGCTGCTTCCTTAACAGTACATTTCACAGAAAACCTGTTGATCCTAAGGAAAAGAACTATCTGAAAGCTGTGGAATACCTCTAGAGAGGAGGACTGGTCCCCAGAATGCTGTTTGACACTTAAGGTCCATGAGGCCAACACTCTAATTAGAGAAACAGAAAAGAGCTTCAGCTTCCATGTGTATTGTCAAGATTTACCTGAATGGAAAGGAAACTGCTGCTTGGCTTCACCAGTGTGTGCGTCCCAAATAATGGTAGTCTGAGATTAAAAGGAAAAGAAAAATTAATTTCTCTGACCTTAAAGAGTATGTGAATGAAAGAATGGAAGCCTGACTGTATTAAGGCAGAAGGAAACTGGACAGTGAACTTCATCTTCAATGTTTTTATTCCTCACAGCAGAAGGGCATCCATACTCAGGTCAGGGGAAAATGATCATGATGCAGTTTAACTTTTTTGTGGTAATTTTTCACCAACTTACTTCCAGTAACAACTATTGTTTGTCAACAAAGTCCTGGCACTGTATTAGACAGTGTAACAAGTTCCACTGAAATAATGTAGTCAATATATGTTTTTACAGTTCTGGAGTTAGAAGGTTGCAGTGAAATCACCTATCCTAAAATACTGAAACACTTCTCCTTTCTTGAAGCTTACATGTACAAAAAAGAAAGAAAATGGTTGTTTCCATTTCTGATACCACTTAAGGCAGGTTCTGAAGCTGCTTCTGAGAAAGACAATACTCTGGCTCTTCTCCTTTCCAGATGCCTTCATCCCTCTGTGAAAACTACTCAACAAACTGTGATTTTAGCCAGTTTATGTCCTCTTCCCCAACACCACCCAACTGATTAATAGCCTATTCTCTGCTAGATCAAAAAAATCTTAAACCTTTGATTATTTATGAAGGTGTGGTAGAAGAGTCCTGAAGGAGGAAGAGCCAGTTCCAAACAGTTTCTATTCACTTCCCAGAGCATGGGGGTACATGGATAGCCCACTGAGATAAACTGGGAAGCACAAAGTGCTTCAAATCCCAGCAAAAATGAAGAGAGGTCATAAAAATAAAGGTATGATGGGTAGATTAATGAAAATAAGAAATTATTTCTATTACTGATGAAAAGTCATACTTGCATGCACTAAAATCTGTCAAAGTGATTATCAGCAAAAAAAAAAAAAAAGATTTCTTTTAAATACAGTGTTACAGAGCTTAGCAAAGTATTCATTTACCTTATCTACTCCAGCACTTAGAATGAAATTTCCTTTCTTATTCCATTTTAATGCAAATATAGGGCCTTTATGCTGTCCCAAGGTACTGGCAAGATTACCTAAAGTTAAAAAAAAAAAAAAAAAAAAACCTTTAAAATTACTAAAATTACTTCAAACTTTCTAACTTAGAGCATCAATAAAGTTAGAAAAAATACATACCATCTTTAGTCCATATTCTGGCGAATCCATCATATGACCCAGTTGCTAGAAGTGTACCTTCACTCTGCCAGAGAAATACATTTTGTTCATTACACAATTAAGGCTACTTAATTATCATGAACATGTTCCAGGCACAAGAGACTCTTTTCTATGTGTGAGTGCCAACAGAGGCCAGCAAAACACCTTTCCCTGATAGAGTCAATGATCTTTGAAAGGCCCACCCCAAATGTGAGCACTGGGCCTAACCACTGTGGAGTAGGACTGACAGCAACCCTCTGCAGAACATTTTCACAGATGCCCATGAATGAGGATGGACGCAGGTTGTAGACTGGAAGTCCTCAAATGCCTTCATTCACAGACCTCTTAAGCAAGAGAGCACTCACATTCCAATCTAGAGAAGTGACATCCTTGTTGCTGGGAACGTCCTGTCCTCCTTCCCGTATGCAATGCCTAAGCACCAGCTGTGTGGGACCACTCGTGCTGTTTTCACTAAGATTCCATATTCTTGCTGTGGAGTCTCCAGACCTTCAAAGTTGAAATATAGATTTAAGTCCTCATGACATTCTCCAGGCCACACATTTAGCATCTGAGTTAGAAGCAGACTACCACACATAAAAATTTCTAATATTTTTCTTATTTTACTCCTAACAAGTAATTCTAAAGTTACTTCACAAAGAAATACTGATTTACTAAGGTAACATGACCATAAGCACGCAACAAGCATCTGGAAAGTGAAATATATATAAAATACATAGCAGTCCATTCAGTAAGGTAGCCTTAAATGACATTGTATAGCTGGGTTTGGTACAGCAGGCCTATTAATCACAGACTCAGGAGGGCCAACAGTTCAAAACTACTCTTACCTAAACAGTAAATACTGTTTAAAACCAAACAAAATACCCAATATCTAGAAGATCCTTTCAAAAACCTACCCTGATGCCAGGAGATCACTAACAGGGTTCCAGGCACAGATGAAAACCTCAGATTCATGGCCCCGTAGCACAACTGCTTTGTTGGGAGGAATTTCAACATCCCCATCTACTTCCATCATATCAGTGTGATTATCTGCATCATGAGAAGAAACAATTTCTGTAAGAGGTAATCACAATCCTAGTACTAGTCCTAAGCGTGTGAATGTTTATGTACACAGACGTGGACATGGAAGGTGGCAAGGGAGAAAAGGAGTGAAAAGGGAGTGAACCTCAGCTAACGTGGCTGAATTACACTGTCTATAACAGTATTATTCTGAGTTTCTGCCAGTAGGGGTTGCTGATATCGTTCATATAACACAAGAGTCATCTTTATTCTTCAATGTCATAGCCTTACTGTATGTTTAACAGAGAATATCACAAATTTTACTTAGAAATCAAATGCAGATTCAGAATTCTAAGAGTAGAAAAAGGGCTCTGAAACACCTGAAAGGAATATACAGTGACTTTAGATTTTTGGAACATTAGGTATAAAATCTGAGCTGTGTGACCTAAGGAAGGGATAGAGGTATTATTTCAGCTCTAAGAATGGGACAGGCCAAGTGTTTTCTGTGAATCTCTAAACATGATTAGCTTACTTGTGATGGTGTGTGCTCCATTCTCCTCCCCATTTGCTGTGTTCTCTCCATTCTTTGCAGACCCTTGCTGGTTAGTGGCTGCAGCAGCAGCTGCAGCGGCGGCTGCATGCTGCTGTGCAAGCTTGTCTCTGTAGGCTTGTTGTCTTGTTTGGACTACATCGGGCATAACAGCATCTATCAGGGACAGAGACTCAATGGGTCGACCATCAAATAAGGTGCCATCCTGAGGTTGAAAAAGCAGGAAAGAAGAAAGAGATGTAGCCTTGAGGGTGACATGCATTCCACTAATGAAGGGCTTCACTCTGAGGAAAACCTAGTAATTTTCTGAATTTGAACAAGAGGGAGAGATGGGAATAAGAATGACCCTGAATGAGGCAGATTCAAATGGCCCTCTACTCTTAACTTAGGTCCTGCTAAACTCTGAACAAAGACAGACGCAATGCAAGAGGCTACTCATAAAAGCTCAGATAATAACATGAAAATATATCAAATTCAGGTAATAAAGGCTGTTAGTAAAAAAAAAAAAAAAACATTAGTCAGTAGAGTAGTAGCTCATACAACAAGGAGGCATCAGTACTCTGAATCCAAGTCTTGGAGGAAAAAAAAAAATGCACCTGTACTGAACTGGGGCAGATCTTTTTCTTACAGGTTTTTCTTAAACATTACAGGGTAACAATCACATCATATATGTGATCTAGATGTGTGCTGTTTGGTATAAGTATACAGCACAGTAAATGGTGATAACTGTGGCAATGAGGGATCCATCCTTGAGGATACCAACAGGAGACTAGACACTTTAAAACAGCTAAAATCCTTCTACTTACTTTTTTAGGGGGAGGGACAGGGAAGGAGTGTATTCACCTATCAAGTAAAAAATAAAGGGAACCCCTCAATATATTCTGAGTCCTAGAAATACATTAAACTTTCTGGCTACAACAAGGTTCTGCAGACTTCTAGGAAAGATCAGGCAGTGTGTGCTTTGAAGATCATAAGATCCTTGTCATGACACTTCATGTTCCCAGAATGCACCCATACAGTCCAAATGTGAATGAGTCTGGCTGTGTTATAAAGCTGGTCTATAGAATCAGGGAGCAAGTAAGATTGCCCCAGGCCTAGCATCATGTTAGCTCCTGAAACAAACCCTCTTCTTACACATGAACCTCACACATGCAGCTCTGAGCATCAAGAGTGGCCATCCATTATAAATAACTGGCTTTCATAATCAGGTAACATGACACTAACAATGGCTTTCCAACTGCTTGCCATGAATTTGTTCCCAGTACTATATAGCCAAACTCTTATATGTTAAAAATTATTTCCCTGTGCTTACTTAAAGCACAAACACATACATATACTGTCCTACCCCCGCCACTCCCACACCCTCTAAAGGAATTATCTAGGGACATTGGCCACTGTATAGAAGCTCACATGCACAGCTAGCACAACCTGACTGGTACATTAGGAATCCAGGAATCCATTAGAACTTTATTCTATCTCAACCCAGTGAAGTTGAGTCAGATATTGAATAAACAACAAATTCAAGAGGAATCAGTGTCTGAAAAGAAACTCATGCGCCTTACCTCATTTATGCTAACTTCTGCCTCTACATACTGTAGGCCTTTCTGGATGATAGAGATCAATGCGGCAGGTGGGACAAGGGCACCATTTATATTGGATTGACTTATATGGCTCTCTATACCAAAGGTAAATGCAGAATGAGAAAATCCTAAAAGTAAAAGAGAAGATGTGAAAATTTACTTTCCTAGTAACTTCACATTAAATTACAAATGGGGGAAGAAAAAAAAAAAAAAAAAAAAAACCCTTAGGACTTTTCACAACCATACACCACCACTTGAAATTGTAAAAGGAAAGCTAAAGTAAAATATGAGTTTAAGCCAATCTCGCTGTAGTGCTAATAATAGTCTGGCATCTACTGGGTTACATGGCTCCAGTTTTTCTTTTCTTTTCTACTTTTTCTCGCTTTTTAATTTAAAAAAAAAATTATTTTTAAGATACCAACCTCCGTTTCCTCTCCTTCCCCTCCCCCTCACCTCCTCCCTTCCCAACCCTCCCCATCTACTCATCAGTGGGGACAAGGCCTTCCTTGGGGAGTCAAAAAACTCTGGCATACCAAATTGAGGCAGGACCAAGCTCCTCCCCCCTGTATCAGGGCTGAGCAAGGCATCTGAACATAGGGAATGGCTCCAGTTTTTCTAACAGTAACACAGCTTTCCTGAAGAAGATGCAGCAAATGTAAACACTGAAAAGCACTGAGAAACAATGGACCTAACCTGCCTCATGAGAGAAACTGAAATCACAATTTATGTGGCAGGTCTTATTTCTATGGTATATTTAAAATTTTAGACACAAACTGTCAAACACCTTCATTGTTTTGTGGCTTTAAAAAAAACTTAGTAAAGTGCAAACTGTAAGATAATACAAATAAAGCAAATGCTAACAGACTTGGGCTAGAGATGCGGTTCAGTGCTTGCCTAGCATGCAAGAAGTCCTAGACTCCAACCCAGCACCAATAAAACTGTGCACAGTGGTGAACACCTGTTCTGAGAGCCTGCAGAGGACAGAGGCAGGGAGAGCAGAGTTCAAGGTTATCTTTAGCTAACCTCGACCGTGTGAGCTATCTCCAAAAGAAATAAAAAGCCAAATTATAACATTTGAACTTTTTATATAAGATTATTTTTATATCCACTAACTGTTTTAAAAAACACTCATTTTGTGATTTAGTAATAACTCATCTAAATAAGCACTTAAGAACTACAAAATGAAAATCCAGTTTCTAGGTCTCCTTTGACATCAATCCCAGCACTCAGGAAGCAGAAGATCATTACATAACAGATTCCAGGATAGCCAGGGACTAGCTATACAGAAAAGCCATCTCATAAATTCAGGTAATATATATATATATATTTTCAAAGCATGAAACTCATATAGCCAGCCTCTGTACATTAACTTCATATTATGATGAAAGTCTAGTTCAGATAACAAAGGGAAGTTCTAGTAATGGACAGAATGGCTGCGCTCTGTGAAATCCCATCACAGTTTACTAAGTTTAAAGGCTGTATACTTCCCAACAGCATGTAGCTGGGAAAGGCTCATGGGTGACCAATGTACACCTGGTTGGTTCTCCTCGAAGCTTTTACTTCTGCTAGCCACTCCTACCTTAAAGGCCCATGGTGGGAGAGGGACACAGACTAGCTTGTGATTAGGCACATTTAAGAGTTTTGTGTTTAATCTGAGGTCACGAAGATGGCTGAAGCAAATGTGGCTCTGAGACAGGGGAGGAAGGCACCATTCTGAAGTTATCCTTCAGGAATCCCAAGTTCCATAATCTGGGTAGGTAGATTCCAGATCACCAGCATTAAAAGGCAAGCCTAAGTCTTGGAAGTACTAGGAGAGAATACTGGAGATGAGGCAATGAAGTTGGAGGTTGGGGGATTTGATTTCTATGTAAATAACATGACAGTCCCCAAATAAGTTCTTCAACAAATCAAAATGGGGTAGGGATTACCATTTAGAAGACTTTGAAACAGAAGACGCCATTATGGAAAACACATTAGATCTTTATTGCATTGTATTATGAATTAAGGCTGAGGACACAGTAAGGACTCAAATTTATTCTGCAACCTACTTCTCTTGAAAAGTCAAAATATGGCAGCAAGATAACACTTGAGAACAGCAGTTATCATTGCTCAGTTGTTCTGTAGGGGCTTCGAAAGAGGAACAGTCACATTATAAAACACCAGGGCACCTCACTAGTCTTACCTCCAGGATTGAGAAGTTGATATGCATGATCATAAATTGAATAAAACCGGTTTTCTCTACATTCTCCTTGACTACAACATTACTCAGAACTACCAGATTCCAGAACCTATCTGTTAGTATTCAAGCATCTGTACTGGCCTGTCCTTGGGGTATTGACAGGATGCATCCTCAAATGCAGCCACTAAGAGCACCACCTAAGCATAGTCACTATGTTCCCTTTTAAAAGGGCCCTACCCACCTCCCATCCTTCTCTTTCTCTATTTCTTCCTCTCCTTCTCTCTGTCTGCTACCCCCTCCCTTCCTGCTGCTCCTATCCACAAAGGCAGGTCTGTCCCTCCCTCTTTCCTTTTTTTACAACCCTTTTTCTCACGAGCCACTTTTTTTTTTTTTTTTAACAACACTATCCAACTTTCTTCCACTTTAAGCTTAATGATGTGCTCATTTAAACAGGAAAGCTGAGCATGGCTAGCACTTGTTTCCCCAGACCTGGAGAGAGGCTCATGGGCATACTAAGTCACTGCAAATGTGCTGAGTGATCTCAAGCAGTAAGGGGACAAACTTGAGCAGCTGATGGCTGGATCTCCTTCCTCTCCATCCCACTATCCACAGGGAACACCCATGTGTACACATCTCTGATCAGACAGACACTCAAATGGAATGGTTTCTCTAGCTCTACTCACACATGGTAGTCAGTGTTGGGCCTCATTTCCCAGCACCATGAGGCCAGTACACTTAACTGCCACTTCCCCTTCAGCCTCTCATATTCAATCATCAAGTCAAACCATTCTACCTGCACATTCTTGAAATGTTCTGCATCTGTCCTCGTCTTCTAGGACCGCACCCTCTGCTTGGACTGTTCTTACCCTAAATCCCTTCCTCCCTCCTCCTTTCAGCTAGCTGACTAATCAACTTAAAATCATCAGCACCACTTCACAACTGCTTTTGGTAACGCCCTTGGCCATCATGATAAAGAATTGTATATAGTATTGCTAGAACTTAATCCTACATTTCTCCCCAGCTCTGACCTCCCAACTATACTGGGCAGCTCCCCTCCCAGTATGCACACTAAATCTGTAAGATGTCAAATGGTAGGCAGCATCTTCATCATGCTCTACTACACACCCCTTGCCTCTGAGCCTGAGAGTCTTTACTACCCTCACCTATTTGTTTCTCCTGTGATCTTACAACTTACACATGTACACAAATACCAAACTGAACAGTCTACTGTTCTACTGACTACTCCATGAGCAAATCAAGGAAAGGGTTTAAATAGAGTAATCCGTTAACTCTGGGAAACTAGTACGTTACCTGTTTAATCATCTGCTACTATACCATAACACATTTTTATATTTAAAAATCTCTCACTCCAGAAAAGCCAGTCTTTATTAAAAGACAACTAAAACTTGAACCAGGTTTATGTTCCCCTTAAATTCCCCTTCATTTGCTGAAAATGCTCTCTCAGGGACAACCTTAGATTCACACAGGGGCAAAGGGAACCACTCCAATCGGCATGGTTTATTAAAAACCAGCAGCCTTTCTCTTCACAAGTAACCCTGAGTATGACATAGGCAACAGTCATAATGCATGTTAGGGTACCTAAAAGTGGAGCAGCAGAGCTCCTCAGGAGGGCTGAGGAAGAAACCAGGAAGTCACAGGGACAACAGTGGCAGGGGACATACATGTTTATGTGAGTGTCTCAGTCACACAGGCAATCACAACAGTGGAAGTGTGTGTGTGTGTGTGTGTGTGTGTGTGTGTGTGTGTGTGTGTGTGTGTGTGTTCACTTGCTAAGAGAGGGAAGAGAAAGAGAAATTTAAAGGTGTTCCTTATGACCATCATTCTGCTTTCCAAAGAACAATGCAAATACATAAAGCCACTATTGATGTATAAATACTTCTTTATATTTCTGCCACACTGTGTCAAAAGTAACAAACACACAGAAAAAAAAAAAATGGTAAGATTAACAATGTCCAAGTACACTGACAACTATCCGAGTAGAGTTTTATCTTTAAAAGTATCATAAATGAGAAATAGAAACTTCCAATTCTATACAAAATAGTCATTCCACTTACAAAATAAGAAAAACTGATTTTATTTTATTACACATTTTATTATGAAGAAACAAATGCTGACTTGCATTCTGTGCTGTGGCTAGTCATCTTCTCATTTAAAAGCAGACAAACAAAACAAAATTTTTAAAAAACAATAATAAAAATAAATAAACGAACGAAGGAACGAAGGAAGGAAGGAAGGAAGGAAAACAGGCTAGACACATCCTGAGCTCTCTTCCTGTCCTGTTCTTCATGGAGAGAGCTGAATTACTGATTGCCAGTTTAACCTGAAGAGTGATGTTTGATTCGGGGAAAGGAAGCTAACCTATCTAATTACTATATATAAGTCACCAGAAACTGCATTATCATTTGATGACTGACATTTTACTAACACTATCGAGGTTAACAGCAAGGGTCAAAGGAGCTAAGTGAAGTCATTCTATACCTATTATAATCACTATGCCTATTATAATCACTAAGTTGAAAACACTAATATAGGGCTGACTTCAGATTACAGTATGTCTGTAATGAGACTGTCTCATGAGAATGAGACCCATATTTAAACAAATTCATTAGTGATACATAGCACCCATTACAGAAAATCTAGATGTATTCTTTATAACATTATTGTTAGTGTGACCTGTATTTTAACTGAGTCCCGTCAACAAAAACTCAGATGAGAAATTTTCTACTCGTATTAAATTAGTTATTACCTGATAGTGGCTTTTGAAGCATTTTGGATTTCAAATTCTTGGATAAGCACTGTATCACAAAGTGGTATGGCCTATATCTAGGAGACTTCATACCTTTTGAAGAAATTATAAAAGAGATGAGGTACAGAAGTAATGTCAGGGAGACTGTGCACCATGAGTCTCTGCTCTAACCCTGTGGGGTTTTCCTCCTAAGACTTTCCAATATTATAATCTAGTGCTTCCACACTGCTTTCAGTAATACTAAGTGCATTTGGATTTTTGAGATTTCTACTTAGTCAATTGTAAAATGTATCTGTTTCATGACTTTTAAGAGCTAAGATCATCATCAACAAAGATGTGTGGATCTCTTAAACATGTGTGATGACAATAAAATCTGTGAAGAGTTCTCCAATCAAACACACAGAAATTTTATTTTGTCCCTTACCCGAGACAGGGTTTCTCTGTGTAGCCTTGGCTGTCCCAGAACTAGCTCTCTAGACAAGGCTGGCCTCGAACTCAGAGATGTACCTGCCTCTGCCTCCTGAGTAGTGTTGGGTTTAAAAGTGTGTGCCACCACCACCCAGCTGAAATTTTATCTTCTTAAAGCAGCTAGAAGAACAAATACCAGAAAGTTCCTAAGAAATTACCTGGGAAAACTTATTTAACACCCTCACCCAACAAAAAAGACTGAATGTATGTAGGTGGTAGGAAAGACCCAACCAGGTTAGCTCTAGTGAACACTGTGACTGGCTTAATTACATGACTCATGGACCACTGGGCAGCTAGTGTACAGGGTTACCAGTTAAGTCAATAGGGCAATCAAATTCACACCCTGGGGCAAACACAAACCAGAAAAGGCACACTGATTCAAATCAACCCTTACTTACATGTAACAAATACTTCACATTTTTTAAGTTATCTCAAAAAGAAGAAGAAATGATTTCTTAAGTGGTGCTTGTTGCATTGGGTTGGCTTCCTAAAAATGCTAAATGGTAAGAATCCCAGCAACTTTCTTATGAACTTAACTGAGACATACAAAGTTACAACACTTAATAGAAACCCAATGATAAGTAATACTTTTGTCTTCATCTTGACATGTCAGGGACAGCCAGTTTGGAAAGGCAAGCCCGACTGAATATTTAAAGCTATCACAATGTCATCCCTTTCAAAAAGCAACCCATCTCTGAAGTTAGTCATCTGGAGGCAAATGTTTTCCAATGTTAATAATAGTATAAAATATTTTAAGACTAAAAATAGCTTCATTTCTTGTAGATATGGAATCAGAGTCTAGTCAACATTAAACACGGTATTCAGGGAACAGATGTTACAAGTTCTTACTGAAAAATGTTACTTCTAAGCCAATTATTTATCAAAACAAATCCAAAACTTCCTAAGGCATTTCTAGCCTGAGAGCCAGAACGAGACATTTTACTATAGTCTAGTCACTTCAGACTAGTTCTCTATATACCTCTGCCATGGCCTCACGTATTTCAAAGTGGACACAGTAAGGAGTAAAAAGGCTTTGTGCATGTGTGTGTGTGTGGGGGGGGGGGGAGCTAAGACTAGATATTTCAAGAGAAAAAGTTATGACTCAAGCAACTTATATTGCTTAAATATTTAACTAACTGCCACAAGCACCCCTGAAATTAATGATGCAGATACAACTGAATCCCATGGTTCCAGAGGTGATCACAATTATGTAACATTAAATGACAGAACCAAAACTGAGCTCTGAACACAAGGTGAGTGTGTCCAGTCTATACCCAGTAGAGTTTGTTGTGGCTGGGATCGTCAGTTACAGTGGTTTGACCTAAACAGCTGCCTTCAACATACCAAGTCTGTCTGTCTGTCTGTCTGTCTGTCTCTCTCTCTCTCTCTCACACACACACACACACACACACACACACCCATCCACCAGCCCTACACAATGATTTCTGTCTATCTGTGCAAAGGCTTCAAAACTCAGCCTGAAAGGCAAATCACTCACTCTCTTTCACACACACACACACACACACACACGCACGCACGCACGCACGCACACGCCCTATACAATGCTTTCTGTCTATTTGTGCAAAGGCTTCAAAACTCAGCCTGACAGGAAACAGTCAGGTTTAAGAGGAGAAAGTCATGGTGTCCCACAACAAACCCTTTTCATGATGGGCAAGGATTGTATAACAATTGTAAACACGTTCATAGGCTACATGGAACAGTTGTAAGGGCTTCTATTTGGTCACTTTATTAGTCATTTTAAACAATTTCTGGAGATCTATTGGATCTAACTTCCAACAAATCCCAAAGCTTCCCAACAGGTTATTCTCTGTTGGATGGTTACTCTAGTCTCTGAGCTCTTTCCCTCCCTGCTCTTTCTGATCAGATTATCTTCTCAGCTGCTCAAAGAGGAACAGTAGTAATTTCTTTGCCCATTCCAGCAACATCTTCACTTGCAGTATTACTTCTATCTTATGATTAGATCTCTTTATCTAGAAAACTTGATCAATAACATCAATATAACTGCAAGCTACATTCAATATCTATATTAATAAGTGTGCCAATAATGAATCAAATTCAGGTCAGAATATAATAAATTTGGATTAATATTTACAAAAATATTCTGAAAAATATTGTGAATCCAGATTTTAGGATTCAAAGTTAAGTAGAAAAATTAACTGTGTACATGCGATATATATTACCGAGGTGATGGCATCTTTAAGTTCTTACTAAACATAAACAAAATCACTTCATAATACCTTGCTTATTAAAAATGACCTGTGAACATTGAAAGACAAACTGATAGTTATATGTATTTGCCTAAAATGATCCCAACATATTTGAAAGAGTCAGAGAGTTAAACCATGCAGCAAACACAGCTTTAAAGAGGCAGTCCAGACATCAAAAAAACAGACAAAGCTCAACAGTTTGGACTGGTACAAATTTCAAACACATAAAAAATTATTTTGAGAATATTAAAAGAATTTGAGGCCTATTACTTTACAGAAGTACTCACCTGACTCTTGCAAGTACCTATATACCAAGAAGTTGACCTCATCACTGCTTATACTCATCTTTATTCCCACTTAAACCATGAGGTCACAACACAGGATATAACCCTAAAAATAAAACAAAGTTAATTATTTTCTCAGTAAAATTACATTAAGACAAAATGTAAACAATGCTATAAAAACATTTGATTTTAATAATGTTAAACAAAGGTTCTTCATTGCCTTGCAGTATTAACATAGTTACTTACATTGGTAATAAAATGATTTACAAAATCAAAACATAGCTAGTGTTATTTTTAAATAGAGTAACATCGTGTCAAAAAAGGAATAGATTCACAAAGGCCTTTAACATTGCATGTAATAATATAAAACTTACTCCCTTTAGACTCCTTAACTAAAAAAAGGGGTGGAGGCAAGATTTAAGGATCAAGAACATGAGTCACTTTTGAAAAAAGGCACAATTTTAAAGCACAGAGCTCAGCCATCTCCTCCAACTCTGTCTGTGATGTCTACACACCTGGTAGACTTGCTCTCTATTTCTTAGAATCCCCAAACAAAGTGTTCAAGTCTTAAGATCTGTGTATGTGTACAAGCTTGAGTCTGGGACACTCTTAGAATTCTTAGAATGCCATGTTTTCTTACTGGATAGGGTGGGATAGGGCAAGAAGCAAACTAGGACATGACTTAAGTATATATAATAATTAATCTATGCTCACAATTTAAGAAGTGGTCAGAAAAGTTTTCGTAAGAGCCAGAGGGTAAATATTTGAGGTTCTGCCAGCCATACAGTCTGTCACAACTACTCAGTGTTACCAGGTGGTGCAAAAACAGCAAATGCAAACAAAAGGACATGGCTGTGCTCCAATAAAACTTTATTTGTGGATACTAAAGTTTACATTTTACAGTAATTATTATGTGTTAAATATTAGTCTTCTCCCCACCCCCTGCCCCAAACACACTTTTTAAAGTTAAAATAAGGGGGGGGGACACCTGTCTTTTATTTTGGTTGTTTTGAGAAAGGTGGTGGGTTGGATTTGACCCACTGTGTACTGATCTGTCTTAAAAACCTATGCTGGCATTTACTCAGAATAAAAGTGCATCAAAACGTGGTTTATGATAACTGCTACACAATGGCTCTTGTGTATGCATGGCTCTTGCCTATCACACTTGGTGGATATGGAAGGGACACCCTGGCAGGCAGGCATGTTCCACAGTAACTGCACTACAACCATCATGCTTCACAGAAGGAAGTCTTCTTGGTTGAGGAGAACTGGGATTTCCATTTACTGGTGGTACTATGGGTAGATTAGACATGCTAACAGAAACAGTACTGCAAAGGCTGTTGTAGCACTCAGGTGAACATGCTGAAGGTGCCAGTAACTTCAGCAGGCCTCATAGACCTGACAAACACAGGTGGCTACACTCCACAACCTTCCTGGTTTGTGGGAGAAAGACACTTAATTCATTGCAACTTGAACACCACTGGGTGCATACAAGTTAGGGCAGTGTGCCTAAGCAGGCAAAGGATGTAAAATATGGTTGACTCACAGGTGCCATCTATAGCACAGAGAGGAGAATCTAGTCCTTTAACTCCAATCTTTTGAGTATAGGTAATTACATTTGTTACAATGGCATACATACTTCTTTCCATTAGTTTGGAATAGTAAGGAAAATGGGGGGAGAGGGCAGGGATGGGTAATTTCCATTTACAGAGCACTTGCTGGACAATAAATAGGTAAAGTACCTGGTTAACTATATGTTGATTTTCCTTTTCAATATTATCTTCCTCATTTCAATATGGCAGGACCATTCCTGTGGACAGGGCTATGTACTCAAATACTCAAACACTAATTTCTGATGACTAGTAGAAGTATAGGACACTGTGTCACCTGGTACTAGGAGGTCCCTCTGCTAATCTCAAACTCAGACCCATGTCACCAATCTATATGAATAGTGGAAGCTATCACAACAGTTGTTCATACACACAATGTTATCTTAACAAATGGCATCACATCCTCAATGGTACCCAGAACATGTCATACACAGACAATGAAAGCCCCACTGAACAAGAGTTCAGAATACACAGGACCTTCTACTAGCACAATCCTGATTGGCGTGAGCTCTTAAACCCGTAAGCAGTCAGCATTCATCCATGGCCATGTTTGCTCACTAGGGCCACATGACATGCTATGCCAAGTTGACTTTATGAATCAAAGATAAACTGTGGCAACCAACAGAGCCTCTTTAACATGGTGGGCTTCCCATACCTTTCAACTCCAAACTCAAAATAGAGTTAGGAACAACAGTCTGTGTACAAGTGCAAAGAAAGTGAGCCACCTGAGATGTGACTGTAATGGAGACAGTGTTTCTCAAGGTATCTAAGTTCAAATAAAGCTATGTGGGTTTTACTTGGTTGGTTTGCTTGTAAGAGACACGGGAGGGATACTTGGGCACAAAGGAGCCACAGAAGACACTGACCATAATGGTCCCTTATCTTTTCATCACCTAGGATCCAGGACAGGTTTCTTTTCACCCCTCAGTCAGTGGGATGTGTGACAGTAGCTCTAGCTAATATAAAATTACTATTGTTTGGATTTGTTGTTGGGGGGGGGGAAGGCTTAGCTATGGTATCCTATTATCAACCTCCTGAACTTGTGACCTTTTTCCTATATCTCAAGTGTCAATGGCACTTGATGGATGAAGGACCACATGTGGTTTAATCAGCAAAGTCTGAAACTCTTATGTAATCACTGTTTTGATACCTGTAAATTTAACATCTGAATTCACAGTGCTCTGTGAATATACCATGCCCTCCAAGAATTACTCAAGAGGAACAGATGAACTCACTCCTTTAGCACCTACTATCTTCTGGCAACTAATGCCTTACTCATCCCCCAATAAAACAGCAGCAAACACTGGGAACAGCACTGGAAGTACTCTACTCTCAATTTCCCATCTCATTGAAAATAATGAAAACCTCTAAGGTTAATGTAATAATACCTTTTTGTGGAAATAAAGTACAGAAAAGACATTTTTTTCACATCTTCTAAAACATATCTTAAAAGACAACTAATTTCTAGTATTTTAAGGCTAAATAACATCCTGTTTATAAAAGTCCATTTTAAACTATAAAGCAAAGAAAGCATGAAAATCTTAATGTGATTAGATAATCTTAGAAACCCCCTGAATGAAATGCATGCTCCAGGTTGTTTGATAACTGATCAAAAATAAATTTAAACCCCAATCTAACAAAATCAACTCAATTCTTTTACTTCCAGTTTTTTTGACACAGAGTCTATGTAGCCCCTGCTAGCCTCTTAACTCACAGAGAGCCACCTGCCTCTGCCTCCCTCCCAAATTCCAGGATTATTTGTTTGTTTTTTGAGACATGTTTCTTTGTAGCTTTGGAGCCTGTTTTGGAAATCTCTCTGTAGACCAAGCTGGCCTTGAACTCACAGAAATCTGACTGCCTCTGCCCGCTGAGTGCTGGGATCAAAGGCATGCACCACCAACATCTCAAATCCCAGGATTAAAGGTGTAATGCACCATGCCTGGCAAAATCCATTAAATTCTTAAAGCACCAATCGATAATAATGCACTTGCATTTTTGTGTGTATCAACACTATGGTTTATGTACATATACTGTAAGGATGGTTAGTGGCAACCTATCTAATATATCAAAACAACTCCTAAATTAGGGAGATAGGTCAGTGGTCAAAAGCACTTGTCCCAGGAGCAGGATCCAGATCCCCAGCGACCACATGCCACATGAAAGCTGGCCATTACAGCCTGAGTTCCCAATTCAGCATCTCAGAAACTGGAAGCAAATTCACAGTCAACAACAGCAAGGGTGGAGGTGAGGACTGGTCTACATGTAAATTGGTGCACTGTGCCTAACATACACAAGTACATACTGGTACCATCTAGGGGGTTCTTCAACTAAGGATAAATGTTATTTAAATTGTATTTTCAAACATAAGACTCATCCTATGAAATTCACACTAAAATGGAAAAATAATCTTTTAAAATAAAAGTCTCATATTTTTTACAAGGCTTATTTAATACTTTAAATATAATCATCCACCTAGCATAACAGAAACAAATGCATGGAATCAGAGGAAAAGCAGAAAGCAATTATGAATGAAAGTCCCCACTCTCTTCTGAAATTCAATTTCTTCAGGTAAGTCTCCAACGAGAACACTTGGCAAGATGTTCACTTACACAAAAGGGTACTTTTTTTTTTCTTTTTGTGTTTATAGTCAATTTTGTGTTGTTCTATAAACAGTATAGTCACCATTGTTTGATGCTAGAGAATACTAGATTGGAATCCCAAATTAGCTACTTCAAAGAGTCTTAGTAATGTATCTAACAGAATTGACAGCCAGAATTTACATGGGTCAGCTTCATCAATTCATATTGACTATACTCCTCTAGAAAAGACCTGTGGTGAACTACCTCATAATTCAGATGTTGTCTGTAACTTCCAAAACATACAAAAAGGAAAAAGTGACTGTTTATAGAAGTATCTAAAAATCCCTTTGAAGTGGACAATATACAAGAACTCATTATGTGTTGAATAACTGAGTCGACTCTAGTTCAAACACACAGATGAAGGCACTGAAAGGTGAGGCATGAAATCTCAGTAGAAAGAGAGCAGGTCCCATGATACATTTTTCTCAGGAAACCAAGTATAGGATTCAAGGTAAATAAAACCACTTTCTCCCTGAAAAAGAACATTGAGACAGTCCAGTATAGTTAGTAAAACCAGGACTAGCATGTGAAAGCTCATGGCATAGAGACCTTAACACAACAACCTAAAATTAAACCAATCCAATCTATTATTGCAGTTTGGTCTGATGAGAAAGTTAAGACTGAATACAGCCCACACTCTTCAAAGACTGGCCAACCAGCAAAACAGGTAAGCACTGTGCTTAATGCAGGCACTGCAGGAAGAGTAAAGAAAACCATGCTTGAACAAACCAAGATTATAATGATGTTTTTGAAACCATTTCCAGAATAAGGAGGTACGCCAGCAAAATTAAGACTACCAAACCATAAATAAGTTGAAAAAAAGTGTTCACACATTGTTGTACTTAAAATTATTCAAA